ATGGTTGCTTGGGAGGATTGAAGAGATCCAGAAATCCCAAGCAAATATCTATTCCCACAACCTTCATGTGTTGGAAATGGATCTCATTGATCAGTATAATAAAGTTCTGTACCAAGAGGAAATTCTTTGGTTTCAAAAATCTAGATCTAAGTGGATTACCCAAGGGGATAGAAACACCAAATTCTTTCATCTCCTCACTTGGACTAAAAGGAGGAAAAGAAAAATTGATGTGTTGAAAGGTGAGAATGGTGTTTGGGTTAAAACCCTGATGCTCTGAAACTGATGGTGTCTAATTACTTTACTAATTTATTTACTCAGAGTACTACCACCATGTTGTATCACTGGAATAATTTGGCTACTCATACTATTAGTAGTGATGAGAATAGGGTGTTGATGAGTACTATCACTATTGAGGAGGTTTGGAGGGCTGTGAAGAACATTAAGAAATTCAAAGCCCCAGGTCGAGATGGCTTCCAGGCTATTTTCTATCACACTTATTGGCATGTGCTTGGTCCCTCTATGTTTGAATTCATCAAAAACTGTTTGACAACCACTCCATTCTTGCTACCATTAATAGAACCCTGGTTGCGCTTATTCCCAAAATTGAAAACCCTGAGATTATTAAACAATTTCGGCCCATCAGTTTGTGCAATGTGACCTACAAGATCATAGCAAAAATTCTGGTTAGTAGAATTAGACCTCTTCTTTGCAATCTTGTGAGACCCAACCAAAGTAGCTTTGTTCCTGGCCGATCCACGACTGATAATATTATTATCTCTCAAGAAATTATCCATATTTTAAAGTCTAAGAAGGGAAAGTGGGAGGTGTGATTCTCAAAATCGACTTGGAAAAAGCTTATGATAATATCTCATGGGCTTTCTTGAATCAAACCCTTGATGAGTTTGGGTTTGATAAGAACCTCATTGATATGATTATGTGATGTGTAACCACTGTGAGCATAACTATTTTGTGGAATGGTGAACCTTTGGAGGAATTTAAACCTGAGAAGGGGTTAAAGGAGGGAGATCCTCTTTCTCCCTATTTGTTTGTGTTGTGCATGGAGTAGTTGTCTAACATGATTAGTGTTAAAGCTGCAAAAAAGACATGGAAAGGCATTAAACCCTCTTGAGGGGGCCCATGCCTAACCTATCTCTTTTTTGTTGATGATTTAATGCTGTTTGGAAAAGCGGATATGAGAAATTGCAATACAATTATGACCATTTTGGAGGAATTTTGTGAGATTTCTGGGCTTAAAAATCAATGCCCACAAATCCAAGGTGTTTGTGTCTTCTAATATTGATAGAAGAGTTGCCAGAGATTTGAGTGCTAAGTGTGGCATTCCCTTAACTTCTGATTTAGAGAAGTATCTGGGAGTCCCTCTTCAGCATGGGAGAGTTACTAGAGGGCATTTCACCCATATTCTTGAGAAAATGCAAAAGAACTTAGCTGGGTGGAAAACTAAAGTGCTTTCTCTGGCTGGTAGAACTACTCTTATTCAAGGTGTGAACTCTGCCATCCCTGCATATACTATGCAAACTAATGCTGTCCCAAAGAAAATGTGTGATGAGATTGATAGACTCAACAGAAATTTCTTATGGGGTGATACCCCAGACAGAAGGAAAGTCCACTTGGTTAAGTGGGATATGGTTTGTAAGCCTAAGATTGAGGGTGGGCTTGGTTTAAAGAAAGCTAGAGACCAAAATTTGGCCTTGTTGGCTAAACTTGGTTGGAAACTCTTGAATAAAGAGGATAGCTTATGGTGTACTGTCCTTAGAAACAAGTATTTGAGCAACACCCCCTTTTATAATTGGCCTACAAAGAAGAATGCTTCCTTTGTGTGGAGGAGCATTCTTCAAACCAGGCATATCCTTAGAAAAGGGGTGAAGTGGAATATTGGCAATGGTGCTTTGGTAGATATTTGGAAAGATTGGTGGTGTGGGGCTAAATCCTTTGAGGATGACATGCCCAATCCACCCCAATCCATCCATACATCTGCTGCAAGCCTTGGTTCAGTGGTTGAGTATTTGAATGATCAAGGAGGATGGGATGAGGCAAAAATCAGTTTGATGCTACCTCCCAGTATCGCCACTGTTGTCTTGAACACTCAACCTCCTGTTAACTCTCTCTTGGATAGTCCTAATTGGAGAGGAACTCAATGTGGTGAATTCTTTGTGGCCTCTGCCTATGATCTAATCATTGGTCCTCAAAGGAGTGAGGCAAATTGGGGTTGGATCTAGAAATTGAGATTGCCACAAAAACTTAAAAGTTTCATGTGGCTAGTCTTACATGGAAAATTGTTAACTAACCAAATGAGGATGAAAAGGAGGTTCTGCCCTGATCCCATCTGTCCTCATTGCTGTGGGTGGAAGATATGCAACATCTATTTAAAGGCTGTTAGAAAGCTAAAGAAGTATGGTTGGCTTTGTGTGGTAGAAACTGGTATATTGATATGACCAAGCAGACTTGGCAACAGTGGCTTCTTTCAAACTCTAAAAATAAAAGTCACTTTAATGACCATGCCACTTGGTCCTCTGTGTTCATTGTGACTATGGAAAATCTGGAAAAACAGGAACTCTTTTGTTTTTGATAATATCTCTCCTAACTGTAATGACAGTCTAAAATTCATTCTTGATTATTCAAGAGATATTGACTGGGCTTTTAAAGTTTCTATTATTAATCCCAGGCCTGCATTTAAACTGATTCACTGGGTATTACCTCCTGCAGGCAAACTCAAACTTAATGTGAATGGCAGTAGAAGACTGGCAGATGGAGGAGGATTTGGTGGAATCTTCAGAGATGAAACAGGCAGCTGGGTTTGTGGCTGCTATGGGAAGATGGACAGTGGCATCAGTTTGGAGACACAGCTGTGGGCTCTCTACAACGGTCTAACAGTGATATTACAGGAAGGGATGCATGGAGTGGTCATCGAAACTGATGCACAGCAGGTGGTGCAACTGATGGAAGTAGATGTAGCAGACAAATTTCCATTTAAAAGGGTTGCTGGAAGATGCCAAGATCATCTTCAGGGGTTGTGAGTGCACCATACAACATGTATTCAAGGAAGGGAACCTGTGTGCCAATGCTTTGGCCAAACTTGGAGCTGAGCAACCTGAAGATATTCTGGTGGTGAATGATCCACCAGCCGAGATCCGAAGCTACCTGGCAGCTGATATGATAGGGCTCTCTAGAGAAAGAGCCTAGCTTTGTTTACTTTCTGATGTACCAAAAAAAAAGAAAAGAAGCTGTTTGTCGTGGGAATCAAAATTCGTGTTATTTGGCTGACGGAAGGTTGATGCCACTCAAGGAATGAAGACTGACAGGAGGTCAATGGAATTAGAGTGAAAACAAGTGGATTGTTGTGGACTACAAAAACCAAGATTGAGAATGCATATGAGGTACTAGCTGCAAGACTTCTGCCTTGAATCTTGTATTAATCCCTTTCATACAGTGGATTATCTTGATCAGTTTTACCCTTCAAAAGGGTTTCATGTAAAAAATATGTGTTCATATTGTGCACAATTTACTCACATTATTATCATGGTTAATACATTCACACACTCGCAAATAAATTTAATTGGTAGGTATTTTCATTACCAAGTCTACTGACACTCTGTAGGCCGGATTGAGTATCCATTGTGTATTTTCACTATAATATGTTTTTGTCAGACTAAAGAATCGCTCCGTACTTTTTCATGACGACTTTTGTTCCTTGCAGAAGTGCACTTATTTTCTTGTTATTATTAAATGTATTAAGAACATGGCATCAATGTACACCATGGCTATTGCATCAAACTTAAAAACAATCTGGGAGGAAAAAAAAATTCTTACTTGTCCAGCAACAGCTAACCCGTCGGCAAGCAAAGAGGCTGCCAGCCAAACCTGCAAGCAAATCTGAAATGCAGCCATGGATGTTGATCCCAGCCTTGCAGCCATGGAAGCTGCCAGAGTCACACAGAATGTTGCAGCTATTACCCTCATCAATAACAGAAACCCTGATTTCAGAAAATGAATGAAAAGCCATTAGTTAACGGGAGTGCATTCATCAGAAAAATTATATCACCGCCTAAAAAGAACTTATTCAATGTCACTTGTGCCTATATAGGACAAGTTATTCCCATATTATTCAAATAACTAAATTAGAGAAGCTATTCAGTCTCATTCCAGCACTGAGCCCTTTGTATAAGGAATCAAAATAGTTATAAGTCAGGCTCCATTTTGGAAAATTAAAAACTTTTGGTGGTCACGAATGTACTCAAAAGAAGAAGATAGCACCAATTTAGAACAAGGTGAGAGAAAGCAGATAAGAAGGTTTGATCATGCGCATGAATAGCAATGACTACAATAGCAGGGAGCAATTATGAACCCTCACCATTTTTAAGAAACCGACTAAATTGTAGATCTTTGATACTTGGGGGTAAGAGATCAACTTGTCCCATTAATCTCCACAAGAGTACAAGGGAGATTAAGTACCTGCAAATACCATAAAACAAATGACGAGCAATGAAGGCACCAAGAGATGCAATGCCTCTGACAATATATTTTTGGCAAAACTGGTAGATGAAACATGATTGGAGGAAAGATTAAACTTACTGGGAAATAACATGCGCAATAGCTGCACCACTAACACCCATACGGAATACGAAGATAAATATTGGATCCAAAATGATGTTTGCTCCATCTCCTAGCGCTGCGTATAACCAGCAAAAGTCAATCAGATGCAATATCAAAAGTCCATAAATATATATATATATTCATGTTCAACAATTACCCAACAATCAAAACTACTTGTCAGTAATATTAAAGAGAGCACACTTTTAGTCAATAGACTAGTATAGGGAAGACAGTTGATATATATTTTGGGATAAAATACACATATGGTCGCTAAAGAATGGGCTCCATGTCACTTTGGTCATCCAAGATTCAATTTTTTAACATATATATATAACAAGAATTTAAGAACTGTAAACCACAAACGAAGTTGCACCCAGTGCACAAGGCTCCCACTTATAGTAGGATGCAGGAGAGGCAGTAGGTAAGCAACCTTTCCCCTTGGTCCAATTGATCTGTATAAGTGATCCACCAATTGTACGGTTGACATGCCACTTTTACCCGTAATAGAAATACCATCATAATTATAATAGACCAAGATGAAAGAATTATCAAAATTACTAGAACCCCAAGGCATGCCTGGTAATGTTCATTATATCACAAGATAATGAAGGAAAGGATTATGGAGGCATACATGTCATCATCATCCCAAAATGACCTCTTTTTAAATTCATTGAGTGGTGATTAAAATGTCCTCAAAAATTGTAAAATGTTTTCTATTGATTCAGGGTGATTCCAGACACACCATGAAGACCAAAGGTTCCATTTTGTTTACAGAATAATATGACGTACAAGTCCGACTCTCTACAATCGAACCAACACCCAAAAAAAAAAGAAGAGAATAAAAAATATAAAAACACTATTCTGAAAGCCTGGTGCTGATAATCTATGTGCAACATATACAGACTTGTTTTGAAGTCAAAGCAATGACAAACATGTTTCAATTTCTAAATCCATAGAACCTACAATCGAACCAACACCCAAAAAAAAAAAAGAAGAGAATAAAAAATATAAAAACACTATTCCGAAAGCCTGGTGCTGATAATCTATGTGCAACATATACAGACTTGTTTTGAAGTCAAAGCAATGACAAACATGTTTCAATTTCTAAATCCATAGAACATCCAACTGCATTCTCAACAAGTCATGTTGATTTGGTCACTAACACATCAAAATCAATAGAAATCAGTAATACTTGCAGAAGGTAAAGCTTTGCCCACTACTTAAACCAAGAAGGAAAAATAAATAAATATAGAAAGAGAAAGGCTTGTTTACAGGTTGCATATAAAGGAGTTTTTGTATCCTTAAATCCTCGAAAGACCCCTTGCATGGCCAAAGAGAGAAGAACGGCAGGAGCACCGAGCGACCTCAATGTCAAGTATTGTCTTGCTGGATTTAGCATTGGAGAATCCTAAATGGACAAAAAAGTACAACAGTTAATATTTATTAGTTAATAATAGTAAACAATACATAGCAAGAACATGTGATGATAGTCGTGCCAGTATTCAGCTTCAACTTCAGCATCTTCAAAATTTGGATTTAAGAAGTATATGCCAATAACAATTCAAACCAATTCAACCAGATAGTGGAGTGCTTGGTCTTAAACTCCCAACTTTAAATAGTTCTGGTCTCTCAGACATGAAATAGAATAGTGGAAATCAAAATAACAGTATCATTATACCCTTTCAGAAATTCGGCTCCATTGAATCTTGGAATCAGTAAGGTAAAAGAAAAGAAGGATAAGGAAAATAATCCATCTACATTCTAAGGACAAATATATTTCTTTTAAAGACACAATGCTACTAGTCAGGGGAGTAGGATTTGTCACGTATAAAGGTGAGGACTAGCATTTCTTCTTTTTTTTTTTCCTTTTTTTTTTTTTTTTTTTTTGTGTTGAACAAGTGTGTTAAAATTTACCATCACCTACCACACACTTACCATCACCTACCACACACTCACCTACTACACTCACCTACCACCACCATCCACTACACCTACATCTATATAAGGAACCATTTGTAATATACAGAAAATCAACACACAATCAATCAATAATACATAAATTCATACATAAATTCTTACAAAGTGAGGACTAGCATATGACAAAACTATAGGATCCTCTATTGTTCTTCACAAATTCAATATCAATCCAAGCCACGGCCCCTAATGTACCAAAAAATCAATATCAATCTGATATCCCTACATATCTTGAAACCAAACGAAATTGGCAGTTACATAGCATTAAACCAAACTCCACTAAAAAACAAGACGATGGTCATGGGAGAATTTCAACTGGCTTAAAAGAAGCTCCTGTGAGTTGATATGTGCTATGCAGTTTCATAGTTCACATGTGAATTTAAAATGCGAGGTCTAAACCTAACTCAGTTGATGAGAACAACAATGACGAATGATCTGATTTTCCAAAACTCATTTGCTTTGGATTTGTTTACAGTTTCTATCATCACCAAATTTGTATTTATGTGCTAAGCCCTTCATTTTCTCCTCAAGCGCCTTTGATTAAAACCAAATCAATCTTTACAAAACAAGCAACTGAATTCAAGTAACTCTAATAATACAAAATAACACTTACAGATTCAATGCCCATGTACTCCAATATTGGTTTTGCAGCAACAATTAGAAATAAAGCTTGGAAAAGGCCAAGAACAGCTCCAATAACCAAAGCTGATGAAGCGGAAGGAATATGCCTTCTCTCATTAGTACTGGTTGGAGACTTGTATGTATCTGCTTTATCACCACAAAGCCAAATAATGTTAAAACTTAAAATCAACAATATAATTTGGAAACTCATGTATAGTGAAGGTCCCATAAGAATGCAATTTATTTGCATACCAAGCAGCCCTTTAAAAAAATAAGACAAAAGAAGAAGTGAAGCATACCAACTCTTGGTATCAACTCTTCCTTTTCACCATCTCCCGAAAAACTCCTTTCGGGTATTTCAATATCATTCTCTTTATGAATCAAACTTCCAACTGCATCTTCCTCAGCAACAAAAGAAGTTGTAACACTAACAAGTGGGAAGATCGCAATCTTCGATGCTTGATTAAAAATAGCAATAGCAACTCCTACTGCAGCAAGCTCCACGGGACCTATATGGATGATGAAGTAAAGCGGAAAACAAAGATTAATTAGGATATGGAAATAAATAACTTAATTTTCAATTATATTATATTGTAAGTTAATGTATGTAGGAAGCTAATACAGTAAGCACATGGTATATACACCAGATAGATGGACAAGACCTACTTGGGTGAAAAGGGGATTCTTGACCCGATTATGTTTTTACAAAACTTATTTAGACCAAAGGGCCTCCTTTTAACTTATTTACCAAACCATGTGAAAGCGTGTTCGTTAAACACGATTTCTACCTTCTTTTGCCTAAATAAAATAATATCTAAGAGTGCAATAAAAAAATCCAAAAAAAAATATGTATTTTGCTGAGAGCATGGATGCTAACCATGCCTTCTGAAATTTGTTCTTAGCGCCTACGTTTTCAGCCAATTTTTAGCCTTTTTTGTGAAGAAAGTGTGGTTGTTAACCGCGCTTACACTTTTTACATTATACATATATATATATATATATATGCCAACACTGAGCCATTAGAACTCTCTATTTTATTTTTCTTTCCTCTTTCTTCTCTCAATGTTCTATTGAAAACATCGTTAGCAATCACGCCTGCAGCACATATTTTGGATTTTTTTACTGTGCTCTAAATATTATTTCGAGAATGGGTAGGAGTAGTACTAATAGAAGATAAGTTGAGAGAGAATAGATTGAGATGGTTTGGTTATATACAACGGAGACCAACAAAGACAGTAGAGAAGAGATGCGATATAGTGACGGTAGATGGTAGTATTAAGGGAAGGGGTAGATCTAGATTAATGTGGACTAGTGTTAATAAATAGAGATATGAATCTCCTTAATTTGACTAACGAAATGACCTTGGATAAAGTCAAGTGGAGAAGAAAGATTCATGCAGCTAACCCATTTTATAGAACTTAAGGCTTGGTTTGGTTTGGTTTTTAAATATTATTTTATTCCAACAATACAATGCGAAATAATGGTTGCTAAACCAGCTTTCAAAAAATTGTGTCTAGTAAATGCGTTTTGACGATGATAAATAAGTTGAAAAGGGACCCTCCAATTTAAATAAGCTCTTTAAAATAAATATATAAAAAAAGGTTCTCAAGTCAAGATCCGCGAAAAAAGAGTGGTTGACAACATATGAACATTTATGCACCATTTTTTAAGAGACATTTTGAATTCTTGTAAAATTATAAACCTCTACCCTTTATATTATTTCAATAACATTATGAGATTACAGGCTAGAACTCAATAGATTAATGCCCATTTAAATTAAAACTTGGAACATTGGTCTGCTAGTCTTATATATCCAAACTTCCACATACCAAGAAAAAAGTTCCAAATTCCAAAATTTAATTTCTTGTTCTGTGTAATCTCATTGAAGCAACCAGGGCATATATGGAAGTGGAACTCAAATTACTCTTCTAGTTAGACAAGTATATCATAGACCAATGGAGAGAGAAACATATTCATAGCTTCACATTTATCAACATGCATGTAATGTCAACTAGGATCAACTAAAACACAGAACAAAATAACAACGAACGACATACCTATATGGCCAATGAAAGCTGTGTCGATTAGAGAAGCTATGGGGTCTGCTGTTAAAGCTAGCGCTGCCGGGAATGCAATAGTTGCTATATCCAGACCCAGTTCATCCTTCTTGAAGACATCTCTAAACAAAATGTTGTATAACCACCCATTAACTTCAAAAATAAAAATAATAATAATGAAATAAAAAAATCTTTTTACTCCGTAGGCCATCTCCAGCCGTTAAATATTACTAAAATTTGAGTAAAAGCTTAAGTGATGGCATACTTGTAAACTTGAAAGCTACAAAATAACTTAAAAAAATTTTTGAGTCTCCCTTGATTTGACTAAAACTCAATTTGATATAAGTTTGAGTCAAGAAGTGGAGAGATTTTTGTTGTGATTTTTACCCTAATTTAAATTTGATATAGGCTTGAGTTAAGGGTTGGAGATATAGTAATTAACAATGAGAATAATAAAAGCCTATATGCACATATTGATAAAAATAAAAATAAAAATTGCTGGGATATAGATAATTACACACAGAAACAAAAACAAACAAATATGCATCTAATGCACATAGTTATATTATTCAAACTATTTAAAACAGAAACAATTTGAATTTGCAAAAAGGTTACTTTTCACTGCATAACTACATAAATCCACCCCTAATATTAAGCCAAAAGACCTAAAACTCATGGAGATTCAATATGTGGGGGGGAAAAATAAAGAAATCCAAAAGCAACAATATATAGAATGATAGATGATACCTGGTGTTCTTGAAGAAAACCCACAGAGGCATCTTGTCAACAAATATCATCTTGTCAACACTTTTTCTCACATACAAAATAGCATCTACAGCCATCAGTTGGAAGAAGAAGCCCTCCTCCACATGAAGCAATTACAATCAAGATCCCATAACCCTAACAAAATAACACCAAAATTTCACAAAATAAAGCTATACAGACATCATCTTCACCCTCAAGAACCACATGTAAAAAGGCCAATAAATTGGTCAATTCAAAATTCTCCCCATATAAAACAAGAAAGAACCCGGAAGGCCTACTTGAAAAGATAGTAGAATACCGCAAAAACCAAATGAATAAATGCTAACAGTAAAGCAAATAGATTTGTATTATACCAATAAAGAAAAAAAAAACAAATATATGTGAAGTGGGATGTATCGTACAACCAACCATGTAGGCCCAACGGTTCATATAAAACCTCCCTCGGTTGTGAAAGCGGTAATGCTACGTCGCTCGAAAAAAGTCTCCCCGAATCCCCCTAATCCCAGAAACGACGTCGTTTCTGCATTTTTTTTTTTTTTTTTTTTTTTTTTTTTTTAATTATTTTAGTTTGTGATTAAAATATTTTATTTGAAATAATTTTTTTAAATTTTTATAAGAAAAAAAATAAAATAATTATCAACAATTTTGATTTGGTTTAGTTTTAAAATTATAATTTAAAAGTGAAATTATATTTTAAAAGATAAATTTTTTAAATGAGTTTAGAAAAAGAAAAAACTTATTTGATTATGAATTTTAAGAGGGAGATTTATGACCTGGTACAAGCCGAGCTAGTTAGGGCCTGAGTCAAGATTTTTGCTTGGTTAGATGTAAGATACGCATTGGAGCGAGGTTTTAGCCTGGGCAAGTTGGGACAAGTCTGAGGCACTAGCCCGATCTGGAGATGTGTGTTGTGCTAAGTCGAATGAAATTTGTCCTTAAAAGACCAGGTTCGATTGAGCAAGAGCTCATTGTGGAATGTGGAGCTCGGTTGAGCCCACACTCCAATTTGATCGATGGGACCGAGTAGTTAGTGCGATCCCAAGGAAGGGTTATGGCGCCACGCTGGGCACAGCTCGGTAAGAAGTGTTATGTGGCATGTTTGGTTTGCAAGAAGAAAATTCCGTCGTTTGTACATGTTAATACCGTTAGGTAGTTTTGCCATCTGGTGTTTGGCAGTATTTGATCTTACACGTAGAAGAAGGTAAGAGGAGAACATATCCACGCGTCAAGAGGAAGACGGATAGAGAGGAGCGCGTAGAAACTACATAAGCGGTGTTGCACCTCCATGCATAGGCCTGGAACTTCTGATTATCAAAGCTACCTATCATTTTGTCTCCCGTCTCTTTCTTTCTCTCTGAGTGTGTTAACTTGACCGTCGGAGGGGTATTTCGGCCAACACCCACTGGGTAGCTCACTGTCATTGTGTTTTCAGGTTATTCGGAGTGAAGCGAAACTTGGACATGAGGAGTATAAAGAGCGACAAATATTTCCTCCTGTACAAATTTTAAAATAAAATAAAAAAATGAATTGTATTTTGAAATTGTTTTAAATGTTAAAAAAAAAATTAGGGTAAATATTTTTTACTGTAAATATTCATTTATTTTTTTAATGTGCATTGTATTTACTATATTTGTACACTATATTTTTTAAAATAATTTTCATTTTAAATATTTTCTTATTTTATTTTATTTTTATTTTCTTATTTTATTTTATTTTTAAAAAAATATTTAATTCTTTAAAAAAATTAAGTTTTACAAATTTTAAATCGTCCATATATATCTAAATAATAACAATTTATTGGGCCACCACTTAAAAAAAATTTAAAAAAAAAAATCTTCAAAAATTTTTTAAAAAAATCTAAAAAAATATTTTTCAAAAAAATTAAAAATAACAAAAAATTTGATTTTTTTTTTGTTTTAAAAATAGAATTTGGAAAAGAGTTTGAAGTTTTGAATTTTGAAAAGAGTTTTGAAAAAAAATTGAATTGAGTGTTTTTGTTGTGAGTTTTGAATTTTTTTTATTGGAATCATGATTCCAAAATTAAACGAAACGTAACCTTTTTTTAAAATTTGATTCATATAAGATATCACAATATAACTCAATGAATTACATCATAGTAATGAAAATAAAATAGATTTAAACTATTGACCTCTTAGTGAAGTGTAAAAGTTCTAGCCAACCGGGCTAATCCCATTACTTAATATTCAATAATTTTGTTAGGAATATAGAAATTAATCTTAAAATAGAACACATTCATAAATAATAAGATTTTACAAAAGGAGCGGCTATTTTTATTCCATTTTACTCAAAATACACTCCATTCTATGTATAATAAGGACAAAAAATGAAATGTATTTGGAACAAAGTAGAGTGAGATACATAAAAGATAGTGCATTTGGAGTAAAATGGAGTGAGAATAACGATTCTCTTTTACAAAATATGTAAATGGGATGGTACACACCCATTGTATGCAGCTTGTTACATATTTTTTGATAAATGTTATATATTTTTGCTACGTATTTTTATTTTTATTTTTTATAGGAGTTGCAATAATTTGATATTTAAAAATGAAATTATGCATTTTGTGATAGGAAGTGTTACTTTATTTTTGTGATAGTGTTGCACATATTTTATAATCACAAAATAATTATGTAATTGAATTATGTGTTTATTATTAAATTTATATTCCATGATTGCATTCAATTATAGACCTTTTTTTTTTTACCAATGTTAGCCCCGGTTTGGTTTTCTTTCTAGGCTAAAAAATCACAAAAGGACAAAAAAAAATTGCCATTCTAAAGCCAAAAAAGCCAAACAAGAAAACCAAACAAACAAAAAAGTCAAAAAACCAATTAAAAAGTCATTGCCGAACGACCCCTTAAATTGATTGACACTAATATAGATAATGTGAAAATACAAAAATTGGCAATGTAAAATATATGATAATATCATTTTTTTTTTCATTCATATAACTAACAAATTATTGATAAAAAAAATATTAAGTGTTATATAAATTAAAATTTTAAAGAAACTTAATATAATTATGTCAAAATTATAAAATTTATTATATTTTTTTAATTGTTAAGAGAGTTCAATATAATTTACCCATCATGATGTAATTAAAAATTTTAAAATATATGAGAATTTTTAAACAATATTTTAGTGTACTTTTAACATATGAACAATTTTGTTGGGACAATAATCTGAGTTCGAATTCTCTCCTTGAGGCCTCTCCTTCAAATCCTCTGTGCAATGGTTGAGATCTGGCCAACCAGATCCAACGGTTATAAAAAATAAATAAAAATTGAAAAGTAAATTCTCCTGCCCAAAGCTATACAGCCTCACACACACTCCTTCTCAACTTGACACACACTGTTTCTCCTCCACTGAACCCACTCTCACCGGTGACCCACTCTCGACGGTGACCCACTCTTCAGCGAGTCTCTTTCCCTGTCTCTTTCTCTCTGTTAGGTCCTCTAATTTGGGACCTTTGGGCTTCCGATTATGGGTCTTCTGGTCTGTAGACTGATTTGGGACCTGGAGAATTAGGACTTCTTTAGAATGCTTTTACCACTGACTGTGATGGTAATGTGGCCCTAGAATTTGTGTTATTTTCTATTCTAAAATCTACTCAGTGTAAAAAAATTTGTGGCAAGTCACTCTACTTGGTGGAGCTCTCTCTTTCAATCTCATATTCCCATCAAATGAATCGGACATCTGGATGTTCAGTAAGTTTCCATTAATATGAATCATGGGTTTGGTTGTTCATGGGGATGTTCATGTTGGAATTAGTGTCCATTTTTTTTATAAGAATTTGTGTTAAAAGTGATGCAAAAAAAACAAGAATTAGCTATTTCCTTGATGTTCCTGTAGTGCGCAATGTTCCCATTTGTTTATTAACAATTGCACAATGTGAATGCACATAGCACTAGTAAAAAACTATGGACACCAAAACAGAACAGCATGAACAACATTTCAGCCCAATTAACAACTATGAACACTGTAACAACCACAACCTCTGATTTATGTTAATTCGTGGTTAAATAAGCTTAATATGTAATTAAGAGAAATTCTGAATTAAATTACATGTGTGTGTTGCCTTGTTTGTGTTTATATCTGTTTAACGTAGAAATATATGTTTATGTTTTTGTTTCTGTCTCGGCTTGCAAATTGAAAACCTTATCGACATCCGATTTAGAAATTGATTTGGTATACGTGTTATTGGAATTTTTAGAATTTTTATGGTAGGTTCAATTGAAATTCAATTCGGAACGAAATAATTAGAATAATTAATGCTTAATTGATTAGTGGTAAGCCTAATTAATTAATCCACTAACCAAACCTATATAAGGCTTCTATATGCATCTCAACTCACCTTACTTCATCATTTTGTTGATACCAACCGCGAGAGAGAAAATGAGGAGATTAGAGCCAACTTTGAAGAGAATTGAAGTCAAGCTAGCAACTACTACAGAAATTGAAGGGAATTGGTGAGATTAAGCCAGAGATCACTAGAATTTATGGAATTGTGGACCCTAGGTAAGGAATCCACCCTTAAGCTTTATGTTAGACTCACTCAAGTAAGGAATTAAGAGAATTAAGTGAATCAATGCATGAATTAAACTAATGAACTAGAAGAGAAGAGCAAATCATGCATGTATGTTCATTTGATCATAATTGAAGTTATTTTCAAGAGAATTCTCACATGCATGTTAGTATATTGGTTTTGTTCAAGGAATTCAACATGTTTTAGACCTAAACATCTCATTTGATCATGATTCGGAAACTTGAAGCTCAAATCATTTCATGCATGTCATGTTCATGTTATGTTTTCACATTTCGAGCTTGATTTTGTACAATTGCATGTTATTGAGCCTTAATTTTGAGTAATGATTCTTACTTTATGATGTTTTGCAAGTTTACAAGAGTTTCCTTAAGTTTTTGGCCTAAGAAACCATAATTTACAGCTTTGGGGTTGAGTTTGAAGCTTGGAAACAATTCTGGAGATTCCAGAATTCTGCTTCCACTCTCGAATAACAAATCCTGCACTTGAATGACCATCTTTATTTTGCACTTCCGCTCGAGCAACCAAAAATACGCTCGAGCGTAAAATGCATGCTCTCAGAAGTTTGCGTGTTTGGCAGACCGCTCGAGCGAGGGCATGAGTCTCACGCTCGAGTGAGAGTCGAGTGAGCATCGAACGGAAAAAACAAACAACCAGCACTTTTACAAAGTTTACAAACTGCTCGAGCGAAGAAATGTGCGCTTGAGCGACCATTCGCATTTTGCATGTCCGCTCGAGCGAAACCCCTGTTTTCAGTAATTTTTGTTAAGTGTTTTCAAGTGAATTTTAGTATCCTCATTGCATC